ATCGCTAGGGAGTGTGATTCATCTGAGGATTATGGGAAAAAATATTCTGGACTTATCCAGCCACCACCACACCAAGGAGGAATTCAATTTATGTGTTTTCTGCTAAATGCCTATCACCTCTTTATTGTGTTCTTAGGGACTGTTCACAGGTTCTCGCTTTATCCCAGCACTGAGACACTTTCCTCTGAGAATCAGGGAGCTGTGACATGTGTATGTGAGATTCTAATGCATGTGAGGAGCTGTAATAGGACGCCCAATTGTCTGCCTCTTCCATTGTGGCATTCAGTTGATGTTACTGATCTCAGGCTGGGCAAGGAGAGTGGGAATTTACTCATCTGAACAGAATGTGGAAAGCATGCCAAAGCTAGGGGTGCACCCCACAAAAATCCAGGGGAGCAAAGGAAGGCTATTTGTTCCAAAGGGTGTGCAATAGACTCGAATTTGTTTTTCCTCTTGCTCCCCATTTTAAAAATCTGTGTAAAAGGGGGATTTTTGTCTTTTGAGTGTTCATCTGCTTCTGAACTCTTTCCTCTTCATTGCTGTGAAAATGATTCCATGTTATCATGAGCTAAAGACTATGATTTTCCTGTTGGAATAAAACCTATCTTAACAGTGAAACTCTTAGGAACAAAGAACCTTGTTTCCAAACACTGAATGTGGAATTTCCTAAAAACGAGACCAGATAATGAGGGCCAGCTGGCTGAGAGGCTCAGTACCATCCACCTCTGAACCTCTTCCACCAATGGTCACATTTCATTCAGAGCAAAAACCGGATTTCTTGAAATAGAAGTATAAAGAAACAAGAGGCTCCTAAGAGCCATTGAATGCAATCCCATATGAAATGTGGCTGATGGTAGTGTGAAGCAGACAAGTGCTTTTCTGGTCTATACCCACCCCTGAGAAAATTAGCTTTTATTTTGTTGTTGTTTGGAACATTCAACTGTTTAAGGGGATGAAAATAATCAAAAGATTATGCCTCATGCAAAACTCAAATTATGTCTCAGGATGATCATGTGAAATGAACACTTAGAGTGATAAGTTGAAAATTAATATTCTAATTCGATTTGTGTTTCATCTGCCTTTTTTAAGTAAAAGGATGCAATTTTACAATGTCCTATTTGTGAAAGGATTAGTACTATATTAGTAGCACGGCATTATTTTACCCCAGGCAGAAAGGCAGTAACTATTACCCTCAGTGCACAGGTACCATATTGCCCCATGTATAAGATGCACCCTTTTTCGAAAAATTTGGGGCCTAAAAACTGTCTTATACAGTGGTTGTAGATTTTTTACTTGCATTTCCCGCAAGTGATGAGGAGTTGTATGAATTTTATGATAAATAAAACTTGAGTTCAAAACTTTATGTAATACATTTTTTTCTCAAATTTCGGGCCCCAAAATTAAGGTGTNAAAAAGAAAATAGAGCGGATTCGAAGGCTCAAAATGCTGGCCTGCAGCTTGGAAGCCAAACAGCCCCCTGTCCAATGTAACTTCATTCTCCAGAAGTGAGGTCCGGAAAGAGGAACCCATCCGAGGATACCAGCCCAAGCTCATTTTATAGTCTTGGTTCCTCTGAATCAAATCTTTATGTTACACGTTTCTAACAGTAGCTGTAATTTTTAATTACTTTACCAAAGCAAAGATCAAAATCCCTACAAAATCCTTTTTTATTTTTTTTTTGTGATGAAGTATTTATTAGTATGTCTCTTTGGAATAGATTTTCATACCCCAGGACTGAAAAGAAATTCCACATCCTCAAAACAATTTTTAAATACTTGAGTTTGTTCTTTTTTCTCACCTTATGCAATGGATTGTTAATGAGGAATAATTAAAATAGATCCTTATTAATAAGAATGCACTGCATTTCAAAAATATTTTTTTAAATATAAAAGCTTCAAGTGCACCAATGTCTACAACAGAGAAATTGAGAATTCACAGCTTCATTCATACAGAGTATCTAGATGGGGTACTAACAAAATACCTCCTTAATGCAATGGGTCAGCCTAATTGAACAGATATAATTACAATCTGTAATATCCATGTGGACCAAATAGAATGTCATAACTCTTATATGGATGTGACTACGACAGTTCTGCATTTCTTTCCACCCTGTAATCTGAGCACTGATTTCCTTAAATGTCTGTGATCTAAGGGGTTTGAAACAGATTTCTCCAAAATGTTCCAGAGCAAATTGTATGAGCTGTTCCACTGGACCCAGCCAGCAGCTTCAAGCTAAGACTTCACTTGAGACGACTTGCTGAGGGGAAATCCACCCCCAGTGAAACGAGGGCCAGTTGCCTTGGCCACGGAGAAGGCGTTATCCATGGATATTCTGTCCTTGTTTCTGTAAGAGAGCAGGTGAAAGTTAACCTCCTTAGCATCTTTTCCCTTTTCTAAGTTTAGCGTTCTCTAAGTTCCTAGGGTGAGTTGGCCACTGAAAACTGCTTTGATTAAAGCATCCGGTTTTAGACGAGGTGGTTGTTTAAAATCTAATTAAGTGCTCGCTGATAGCACATAGAATTAGGGAAAGACGCAATTAAATGTGCCCTCCTGATGTTGGTCTAAATATGGACAGAAGACCTCATTAAAACTCAAGCTCTATGGACTGAAGGCTTCTGACTTATAACCATCTTCCTGTTTTAAATAAAACACAGTTCCAAAGATCAGTCAGAGAATCTTTCTCTTGGCTCAATGACAATGACAATCAACTTTTATATTCCAAAGTACCAATACCAACATAAATATTTACCACACACACACACACACACACACACACACACACACACACACACACACGATATCTTCATAAAACTTGGACATTTATAATAACAAGTTCTTCTGTAACTTTACACAAGCAGTAGTTATCATTAAAAATACTTTAAGATATAAGAAAAGCTTAGAAAGATAAATAAGATAGTACATTTGGCAATAAAGGGAATTCTACCCTAAAATCTATGATGTATCTTCTATATAGATCTCCTTTAAATACACACACACACTCAGTTATCATACAGAGGTACCTTAAATTTATACAAATTACCCAAGTGGTCTTATGGAAAACACCTTTGGAATCCCTTTTTAAAAATAAAAATTAAGCAATTTACTAAGACCAAAACCAATTAGATTTGAGAACTGGCAATGATTTACCTTAGGGCAGCGGTTCTCAACCTTCCTAATGCCACGACCCCTTAATACAGTTCCTCATGTTGTGGTGACCCCCCAACCATAAAATTATTTTCGTTGCTACTCCATAACTGTAATTTTGCTACTGTTATGGATCGTAATGTAAATATCTTTTTGTTTTCCGATGGTCTTAGGCAACCCATGTGAAAGGGTCGTTCGACCCCCAAAGGGGTCGCGGCCCACAGGTTGAGAACCGCTGCCTTAGGGGAATGAATCTGCCTTTTGGAAAAGCATCTGACTGGTACTTCAGAATCTAGACCAGCATGGGGGTGCAGGGTAGGGGAGCTGGGGGCAGGTGGGTGGAGTACGGGTCGGGACCGAAGCATGATAAAAAGGGTGTTTGAGAAAAATGAAAGAAAGCAAAAAGGTAAAAACTATATGAGTTGCTATTTTATAAAACGCTTATGCAGGGAGAACATCCACAGAGATTATTCTAAATTATTCCATTT